TTCCCATGCCCCAATCTGCCAATCCCCGTAAGTACTTGTGCGGATGATAATTGGTTTGTCAAATGGTTGTCAGGTAGGATTGCATTAATTCATAGTTTCAGTTTTCATTTCATTTTCATTTTTGTTTATGATTGGAATGTGCTGGCTTAATTTGTGAGATTTTACTTGCAAGCATATAAGCCTATGCAAGAAAAAATCACTTTTTTTTTTTTATATATATTTGATTGAAAGAGGAATTTAAATTCAATTGTTTCAATAAAAAGTTTATATGTTTATCATTGAATCGAATTTTTAAATTTAAAAAACCACAATTTTTATTGAAATTAAGAACTTCAAATAATGAAATCAATTACTTATATGGATTGTCTTAAAAGGGCTTGAAAAAAAGACGTACCCTAAATAATTAAATATAAAATATAAAATTTAATTGGAATGATTCATTTATTTAAAAATTAAATTTTAATAAGATTGAAATTTATTCCGGTACTTGCGATTTTCCTGTTTTCTGATTCACATTTTCCCAAGTTGTTAATAGTCAAAATAATGCTCAAAGAGTAGTAACGCATGGAAAGTTTCAACATTTCTTCTTTGCAATTGTAAGAAAAAAGTTGGGATTAACTTGAGTGACTACTTATACTAAAATCCTCAAACATTTTCAGAACATTCATCGATAATATTGCTAGTTAAGTTTCTTTTTTCTGGCCAAGAAGAAGAGACTTATTTGATGACTAGAAAGAAAAACTTGTGTCACTGTTTCATGGATTTGCCAATATTAAGTTCATTTGCTGCATGAAGCCTAGAATGTTAATGTAATCTTTTTTGTTCCCTTGGAATCAATATTCTAATTGCATAATCATGTTTTTCCTCCAAACACTGCCTTTCAATGTCACATTTTTCTCCAAAATTTTATTATTGGGTACTTGATTCTAACGTTTGGTTCAAGGTAATCTGATTTCAAAAAAAATTAATAGATTTTCATTAATATTCAAAGTTCTAAAATCAAAAACCTATATCTCCATGTGGTATTTTAGAATTTTATGGAGAAAAATAACGTTATTTTTAAATTTAACCTAATTAAAAAATTATTAAATAGTCGTTATCATTTTAAAAAATATGTCTAAAAATGAATACAAGTCAATCGTAGGTTTCTGCTAGTAAAAATTTGGTTTATATATGACGTTTGGCATGAAAAATGCCTTCAATAATCTCTTGAATAATTTTTAAAAATTTTTATGAGGGAATTATTGAAGGTATTTTTAGTTTATGATTATTTAAAACGTTTTTGACCAAAAACGCTTTGCATAATTCCTTAAAAAAACTTAATAGGGTTATTAAAGGCATTTATGATTAAAAAAAAAAAACCTTCAATAATCTTCAATTTTTAGAGTTTAAAGTTTAGGATTTAGGTTTAAGGAATTGTTCAAGGCATTTTCTAAGCAAAACCGTTTTGAATAATCCAAAAAAAAAAAAATTGAAAGGAATTATCCAAGATATTTTTAGCTAAAAATATCTTAAATAATCCCCTAATTAAAAAAATTAAATGGGCCAAAAACATCTTAAATAATTTTTTATAAAAAATTTAACGGGGTTCTTCAAGGCATTTATGATAAAAAAACGCCTTCAATAATTTATTTCAAAATTTATGATGTGATTATTCAAGATGTTTTTACTAAAGATACTTTGAATAATCCTCAATTTTTAAAGTTTAGGGTTTAAGGTTTAAAAAATTTTGGAGGAGATTATTTAAGGCATTTTTTATCAAATGCCTTGAATATTCTCCTACTAAAAAAATTGAAAATGATTATTCAAGGCGTCTTTGCCTAGAAACGCCTTAAACAATCCCTTACAAAAAATTTAATAGAGTTATTCAAGATGTTTATAATCAAAAACGCCTTCAATAATCTACTTTAATTTTTATGAAGTGATTATTGAAGTCTTTTTTGTCAAAAATACCTTGAATAATCTCTAATTTTTAAGGTTTAAAAGATTATTCAATGTGTTTTTGCTTAGAAAATACATTGAATAATCTCCTAATAAAAAAATTAAAGAGATTATTCAAAATATTTTTTACCAAAAACATATTGAATAATCTCATTTAATTTTTTATAATAAATTATTCAAAGTATTTTCTAACAAAAAAAGCCTTAAATAATTTTTTAAAATTAAAAATTAAATTATTTAAGTTATTATCATATATACTAATGAGATTATAATAATTATTTGAGATTTAATTTATGTAGATTCTTTTTAAGCAAATGAGTGAATCTAAATACGAATGCCCTAAAAATAAAAAGAATTTCGGATATTATATTTTCTCAAAAATTATATTTTCTCAAAATTTTACAATTTTAAGAACCAAATTCCCTCTCGAAAGAATATGTCTCAATTTCCAATTGTACCTCTTTAGCCTCATATGATTTATTAATAAAATAATTTTAAAATTTAAAATTTAATAATAAAATTAAATTATAAAAAATCCATATATTAAAAAAACAAAAAAATAGAAATAACTAAATCTTTTTCTATTGTTTACGGCATTTTCAACTCTTTCAAGCCAAAGAATATATCAAATATATAAAAAAAAATTTCCATATTGCAGCGTATTGTTAGGTTATTTTCCAAATCCTTTTTGTCAGTGTACCATGGGATTTGTTGTTACGTAAAAGCCTGAAAGGGGGTGGACTCTTTACCATAATCCAAAGATTCCAAAACCAAAGGTCTAAATCAAAATCATGGGGTGGAAAAGGACAAATGGTGTGGTCTCAGCCAACCCCATTGCCATGACCAGAGAAAATGATACTTGGTTTTGGAAGCTTCCAAAAACTCTCTCAAAGACTTTGATTTTGCCGACTGATCATGGCCCACATCACCCATTTTATCTTCTCTCTCTTATTTTTTTACTGTACAATCCTGGTGCTCACCTCTGTCTCCTTAGTTCTACTAAAGTTACTTCTCAGGCACGACCAAAACCAGCTTCATTTCCGCCAGAAGAAGGCAATGAGTTGAGGGCCTGATGGTATCTGAATCTTAGACTTTGTGAGTAGATGAAAAATCACAGCTATGAGATTGAGAAATCACTTTTACATTTCTACTTGGTTTGAATGTTTTGAAGATCAGGGATCACGAGGGAGTAAAGTTTCTTTCTTTGTTTTTGTTTTGGTTCCTTTGATAGAATCAATCTCACTTTTTCTCTATCAGAAAAAATTGCACCTGAAAAAAAATAAGACAAGCCTCATTGGAAATAGGGTCTGAAACGCGTGTTAACGAAAATGGCAAAACCTGATTAGGTTTGGGTGATTCTCCGAGTAGTCTGAAAGCTGTGTGAAAAGAAATGAAACAGAAGAAAGGGTCATTTTTAAATTTTTTCTTTTCAAGTTCAATGATGACATAAAAAAAATCTCAAGATGAAATCCTTTTTACCATGTTTTTTCCTTTGAAGTCCAAAACAGAGAATCCAAAGTGAGGACCCTTTTCATTTGATGATTATCTCTTTTGGATTATTTTCCAGCAACAACCCCGAAAACCCGGAGCTTTGCTCTGAAAAAAGACACAAAAATGATCTTCAGACAGAAACAACAAAAAGGCCCAAACCAGAACAGATAAACAGAGCCAACAAAGCTACACTCTTCATCCCATTGCCAGTTTTATCAAACTTCACAAAAACACAACATAAGCTGCAGAAACACCAAACCCAAGAGAGACACAGAGAAAGAGAAAGAGAGTGAAAGAGTCACACTGAGTGAGAGAGTCTGAGTTTGTTGTTTTTTTTTGCTGAAAAGGAAACCAGCCTATACGTTTAATCAGTTGAGGTTTCTTTGCTAGCTCAGTAGAGACTCTAGACTCTGTATATAGTTATTTTTTAACTATTCTTTTTATTTTGGGGACCCTTTTATCTTAAATAAGCTGCTGTGGTTGAGCCTATGACTAGTGGTGTTGGTGTCTCACAGGCTGTGTAATTCCGCCATTAATGCCCCCTCTTGGCCTTTTAGAAACTCTCAAAATTAAGCCTAAATTAATCATATAACGGCACCAACTGTGCTAGCTTTAATGGTTAGTCTTTTTTTTTTCTAATTTTTAGAAGTATTTACACCAATAATCTATGATATGCTACTTGCTTTTCTCAACTTTTTTCTTCTCAGTACTTAAAAGCTGAATTATCCGTTTTTTCCTTTTGAATTTTGCTGTATTGGGTGCCAATAATAATTCTACTATTATTTTGCCAATTCTACCAGAGTTTCTATATTTCAGGTTCAAATTTTCTTCATTAGTTTTAGAGTTTTCAATTTTCCGCATGTGGGTACTCTATTTTTTTTTTAATCAAAGTTGCCTATTTGGGTTCTACCATTAATTTGGCTAACTTGTTGATGTTACAGATATTGGTAGAGATAAATCATCACCATCATTACCAAAAAAAAGCCAAGAGAAAGAGAAAGAGTTAGTTGCAGAAAGCACAACTCAAGCTTCCTGTTTCCTGGGCTGCGCCGCTTCTTCTTGTCGCTCGTGCGTTTTCAATCCGAAATCTCGAGGCAAGCAACACTTTCTCTATAATAAGCCATTTGCTTTTGGTTTCTGGTTTACATTGATTTTGTGATTTTTTTTCCGGTCCTTTGGCTTGGTACCTTTCCTTCCCCGCCAGTTTTGGTTGCTGTAAAATTTGATACAGCCCTTGAAGACTTTCAGGGTTTTGCCAGGTTTAATTTTTAATGTGCTTTAAGGTGTGAAATTGACTTTTGAGGTGTTGAGCAACGCATGATCACAGGGGAGTCGGTGATAGTTTTTGAATTGTGTTGTTTGCTTTGCATAAAACCCAAGGTACAAATCTTATAACCATTCAAGTATTGGTCTTTGGTTTTAACTATTTGATTATTGGCAGCATTTCCTGTTCCGGGTATCATATTATTTTAATGTTAATTTTATATTGGGATCTATATATGTTGAAGTTTTAGAACATGCTAAGAAGGATTGGTATTGGAGTCCTGCTGGATTAGGAGTTGGTTCCTCGTATTTATCCATGTTTTGAAATTGTATTTCCTGTTCATTACTCAGCTCCAATCCCATTATTTTATATAATCAAGAGAGTAAAACTCGGTCCGTGAATTGGGGCTTTTAAAGTTATTAAAGGGGTTCTAGGAAAGTTCTTGGGTTGCATAGAGGAAGTATTGAAAGAGTTGGCTTTGATGTGGAATACTGGTCTCAAGTACAAGACATGCTGAGCTCTGATGAGGGAGAAAATGATGTTTTCTTTGATTCGTTGGATTGCTTGTCCGTTGAAGAGCCAGTTTTAGCCAAAGCAAAATTGGAGGGTGGGAAATTAGAGTATGAAATTTGGATGAATGAGCCACGAAGTGTGAAGGAAAGACGTGAAAGTTTTTTGCGTGGAATGGATCTGGTTGAGTTGGCAAAATCATCAAGGATAAATGATTTGGAGAGGGTCACAGAGTGCAGTGGTGCTGTCCCTAGTTCTTTATTTTCATATGTTAACAATGGAGAAGGAAGTATGGCTTGTTGTGATAGGGAAATGACTTGTGAAGCCAATTTGTTGGTTGATGAATCAGAACAAAAACAGAATGTAGCTCTTGAGAGTGAGAATAAGATATCTCCTCCTACTAAAGGATTTGAACAAAAGGAAACTCAAGCACACTTGGATGAATGTGAAAATGCCAAAGTTAATAGGAAGAAATTCAAGAAATGGTGGAAACACTTTTTGAGCATGAGGAAAGGAGGAGCAAGTAGCCTTGCCTCTAAGGTATCTGAACCAAGTAGCAAAGTACGTAAAACAAACAGAATGATGGTTCATTCCAACAAGAAAGGATGCATGGAGTTTACAGCACTTTATTTGGGACAAGAAATTCGGGCTCACAAGGGCTTCATCTGGACAATGAAGTTTAGCCCAGATGGTCAGTATTTGGCAAGTGGCGGTGAAGATGGTGTAGTACGAATATGGCGTGTCACATCAACAGATGCCTCTAGTAAACCTTTCATGGCTGAGGGCAGTTTCGGTGGAAAGATGGACAAAGGAAAGTCAGGTTTTGGCAGAAAAAAGTCAATCCACTCACCAGTTGTTATTCCTAATAAGATTTTTCAGATTGAGGAGTCACCAATTCAAGAGTTTCATGGACATGCCAGTGATATTTTAGATCTTGCATGGTCCAGTACAAATGTGAGTCATTCATGCGGAAACCTAGCAGTCTATTATACTTAAATTCAATCCTCTTTAGATCTTTGGTTTAGTTTTTTGTTTTGCTGAATCAAAATTTTGGTTGCAGTTTCTTGTTTCTTCTTCCATGGATAAAACTGTTCGTCTGTGGCAAGTCGGCTGCGATCAATGTCTAAATATTTTTCATCATAACAACTATGGTAAGTTGGTAACTATAAAATGACTCAATCCTATAATCCCCTATTTTGTGAATTTATTAATATTATAGTCCCTTTTTCATTTAGATTGACCTATATTTATAGTGTATTGATTTCTTTTGTTCTCTGAAATACATAATGCCATAGTCTAAATTCTGACCATGCTTATTCTTTCGATGGAAACAGTCACATGCACTCAGTTCAATCCCATTGATGACAATTACTTCATCAGTGGTTCTATAGATGGAAAAGCTAGGATCTGGGGAGTGTCTGAGAAGCGAGTTGTTCATTGGGTGGATGTGCGGGACATTATAACTGCTATATGTTACCGACCAGATGGGAAGGTGTAGTTCTGAATACTTGAATCAATATTCTTCTGCTAAAAACATTGTTTTGGATTTCATAATTTTTAGCAATGGTAATAATTTCATGTGCCTTTATTCGAGCAGGAATTTGTGGTTGGTTCCATTACAGGCACTTGCCACTTTTATGAAGCATCAGGTAATAATTTCTTCCATGTTAGAGTTCTATACTACTGTTTAATTTTAATTGTTCAGTCATTCCTTTTCTTTTCTGGCACAGCACCTTCATTCCCTTTCATTCTAATTGTGTTTTTATTTTTTATTTTTTTGATGCTATAGACAATGATGTTAATTTAGAGGCAGAAATACGTATTCATGGCGGAAAGAAAACCTCAGGCAACAAAATCACAAGTATTCAGGTTTTGCGCTGAAGCTCTTAGTGCTATATGTATGTTGCTTGCACTAGTATTTCATTCATCACTAATTAGCTTCATTCCAACTTACAGTTCTCCCTGGATAAGTCTCACAAAATTATGATAACCTCTGAAGATTCCAAACTCCGAATATTTGATGGGGAAGATATTCTTTGTAAATTTAAAGGTAAGATTCAGTGAACTAGATTTTACTCCTCACTGTCTAATATATGAATAAAGAAAAGTTGGATCTTACTCGGACTGCCTTTAATATATTTATTGTGAAAGAAGTTACAATTAGCCGATATTTGTGCTCAGATCCATATGAATATTTACCGATTTTTCACTACATTTTCAAGTAAACGTCTCATAGGTACATTGCATTTAACCAGAATACTGCAAGATTAAATTTGAGCTACATTAATCTCCCTTCCAATCAACCTTTACAGCTGTACTCGTAGCTTGGATCTTTCTGAATATATAACTTTACTGGATGAGCTTTAATTCTTAGTTGTCGTTTCTTTGCTTGTTATCTATTGGTGGTATACCTTATCGCACATTCATTGAAGATATAAAGTAGAATTAGTCAAGCTCTGAATATTTAATATTATCATGACCTATGCACTACACTTGAGGGTTAAATTATACCTTTACTATCTGTGCATGTGTTGCGATTTGCCATTACTTAGATAATTGTCCCTTCTTTGATCCTTGTATGTTGCAATTTTCATAAATTAATATTTTTCTTGAATACTGCAGGACTGCCAAAGTCAGGAAGTCAGATGTCGGCATCTTTTACTTCGACCGGGAGGCATATAATCTCAGTTGGAGAAGACTGTCATGTTTATGTCTGGAACTACAATGACTTGTGCCTCCAAACATCGAAACATACAAAATGTGTTCGTTCTTGTGAGCACTTCTTTTGCGAAGATGTGTCTGTTGCAATACCTTGGTTAGGCCAGGGTGGAGATCAGAGGCACTCAGATATTAGTGATTGCGGGGCTAGGTCACCAAGAGAGGTTCAAATAGAGGGTGCTTCCTGGATCAGAGATTCACAACGATTCTCTCTTGGTGACTGGTTCTCCAGTGATGGATCCTGCAAGGTTTCTGGCACATGGCCTGAAGAAAAGCTTCCTTTGTGGGATGCAGCAATTGTGGAAGATGAGTATTATACATATGACGAACAGCGGCTCTGTCACAATAGTGCCAACAATCACATGGCCCTACCAGAAACATGGGGGCTCGTGATTGTTGCAGGTGGTTGGAATGGAAAAATCAGGACGTTCCACAACTATGGATTGCCTGTTAGGCTATAGGAGTTTGCTCCAGTAGTTTTCATGGTCTGTTTATGCGAGTTCTCGACGTCATTTTAACTTTTTGCTGATCTGGGATTGTCCCCTGTGCAAGATCAGTGAGTAGCAAACTTCAAAGTTCAAAGGGCCAATTTTTTTCCAGATGTAAATGTTCCCAAGTCAATTTGTTGATATTCAACCCATTAGCCCTCCCTGAATTTCAGGAGAGCTCCTTTCATTTGACATGCTTTGTAAGTCATTATATTTTTTTGACGTTTTATCCATGTTATCAGGCTTATTTAAGAACCCTTCTCATGTAGGCAGCTCACACAATTGTAAATAATAGAGTACATAGCAATACAAAACAACAAAAAGTAAAAAAAAAAAAAAAGGAAAAGGAATTTCCAATGCTTTATGCTGCTTTATTTCAAGTTTGCATGACAATTTCTCTAATTCGAATTTCGTTTTGTTTAATTTGTTAGTTGCATGCATATTTAGGCATAGATCCACATGCACACATTTAATATACCTCCTTTTTTGAAAAGGTACTTTTATACAAACTAGATGTAAAAAAGAAAAAAAAGGAGTTTATAGAAAGTGATACGTGGATAATTTTTTTCTTTTTTATACTTAAAGTGACAAGGGTTTGACCTTTAATTATTAGAATTATGAGTTTAATACTCTATCAATAGATTATATAATTGTTGGTTATGTAGATATTTTTGTTAAGTTTAAAATATTATTTTTTTAAAATTAAGATATTAAATTATTATAAAATTAAATGAATAATAAAAAATATATTTTTATATTACCTAAAATGCAGTTGAGCATGACACTCTAAACATGCTTTTGACTAGATCTCATTTATTAAAAAAAACTGGTCTCATTCTAACTCGATCTAGATGGTAAAGAAAATCGTCACTTATTGAATCGTGGTAAATTGAGATCATAGATATAAATTATTTTATCATTTCAATCAACCGACACTTTTTATTACAAAATTTATCTTAATAAAAAAAATGAAAGAAAAAAAACTAAGTGGGAATGGCACATAAATAAAAAAGAGAAAATAGAGTTCATCGGTGTATCACTTAGGCATTCTAACTGAACTTAAAATATTAATATCTTAAATTAAAATATAAAATAATAACTTTATTAATAAAAGTTTGAAAAACAATAAAAAAAAATATATCGTTAGGGTGCCATGTGAACATTTTGATTAAGCTTAAAATACTAAGCTCTTAAATTAATATATTAAATAATAATTTTATTAAAATAATACATATATAAAATATAAAATTCAATAAATACTATAATACATACTTTTAAACATGGTGGCTTGAGGTAAAATACCCTAAATTCATTTTTAACCGAACATCATTTCTCTTTTTTAAAAAATCTACTTAACTCAATCCCATACTGATTTTAATAAAAGCGCTTATATCTAATCAGAATGAATCAAAACCCATTGATACTAATTATTTTATCATCTTTATTAACCAACACATTTTGTTTTAAAATTTATCTAATAATTTTTTTAATTTTAAAAAATTATAAAAAATAACAAAAAGAAAAAAAGAAAAAGAAAAAGAAGCAAAATCCAAGTGTCATATGGACACTTTATTTAGCATGCATTTTTACAAAAACATCTAGTGATAAAAAAAAAAAAAAACAAACAAAAAAATTTTAATTAATAATATCAAATGAATCCCACTCTAAATCTTAAAAAAATATATTTATTAAATATTAAAAGAAAGAAAAAGAAAGAATATAAATGGAGGAAAAAATGATCGAAGTGTATCAAAAAATAACTTTGCTAATATGATACATGTTATAACTTTATTATAGTATCAACTAATAACTTTATTAATATAATACATATATATAAATATAAAAACAAATAGATAATAAAAAATATACTTTTATATATACTATCGGATAAATCGAGACAAAGCACCTTAAACTTGATTCTGACCAGACTTGACCTCATTCTTTCTAATAAAATTTGACTGGTCCAAACTTGATCGTGATTAAAAAAAATATCATATCAAATTGAGATAAATTGAAACTCATTGAATACTTATTGCTTTATCATCATTATTAAGTAATCTATTTTGTGGTCAAATTTATCAACTTAAAAACAAAAAAAAAATTACAAAGAAAGAAAATAAATGAAAGTGCTACATGGATACTTCCATTGATATTATTTTCTAACAAAATTTATTTAATTAAAAAATAAAAAAGTAAAGAGTAAAAAAAAATTAAAAGAACAAAAAAGAGCTAATGGAAGTATCATATGAACCCTATATTCTTCGTTCACAAAATTTATCTAATTAAAATTACCAAAAAAGCTTTAAAAAAAAAAAGATAAATAAAATAAAATAAACCAAATAGGGTTGCCATGTGGACATTCCATTACTCATAATTTTACAACCTTTTTTTTTTGTCAAAGAAAAGAATTTGTTCCCAGAAATCACAATACATTGTATGTTTCACATATATCAGCATGATAATTAAGATAATGAGATGTTGTAAACTGAAACTTTCATTTGCAACTATCATTATACATTATTGCTAGAATATGGTGCTGGTAATCTATCCCTACTTAGGATTCCAACCAATGAGGATGGGGGTTACCTAAGCGATCCAAAGCTCTTAAATCCCATAGATGGCTCCAATTGTAAAGTTTGAGTGTCAACTAATCTGAGCTTAGATATCAACTAATCTAGGCTTGAAATGCCAGCTAAATTGAATTAAAATCTTATATTGAATAAATCTTAAAAAAGTCATTCTTTCTAAAAATTCTTAAACATTTTTTCTTCTTTTTTTTTTTGTTTTCAAAAGAACTTATATTGAATAAATCTTAAAAAATTCATTCTTTCCAAAAATTCTTAAACATTTTTCTTTTTTTTTTTTATTTTGTTTTCAAAAGAACTATTTTCATTCTTCTTGTTTCTTATACAACAACTTATCCTTTCCTTGGACAAACTTTTTTCCCTTTTTTTTCTTTTTTTTCTTTTTCAACAATCTTTTTTTATTGACAAAATTTTTCTTGATTTTTTTCTTTTATGTTTTTCTAAAACTCAAAGAATATCCATATTTTTTATTTTTCTTAATTTTTGCAAAATTAATAAATGCAATTATGATGCAAATGTCTAATATCAAGATAAAGGATTAAAAAGTGAGTATCCGTACACCAATGCAAATTATCACAAGAGCTAAATTATTTTCTGGTAATTAAAATGCCTATATCTTTTCCATGATGTAAATGTACTTATCAAATATGCTTAACAAAGATACGAAAGCAAAACTTATCTTAACAATATAGATGACAAGTTTTTCATGTAGATACCCTATGCTAATGTAAACAAGACCATGCAAATGTAACTTTTGTCCCAATAATGCTAATGTCTTTATGCAAATATGAATGTTTTTCAGGATGCAAATGCAACGTGCGAAGATGCAAATGTGAATGTTTTTATCATGTAGCATGTAGCGATGCAAATGCAAACTATTGACTACAATAATGCATATGCAAAGATTTTTTTTTATTCAAAAGAGGATCTATAATAAAATCATTGCCATTCAAAATTTCTCTTCACCAAAAAAATGATCTCAGTATCTTGTACTAATCTCTAAACTTTTCCAAAATAATTGCAAAATTACCCATATAAAGTATTTTCGTAATCATTGAAAAAAATTAAAAACATATAACTTTCGGATCTTTTAAAAATTGGTGATAATTATAAAAAATATCCAAGAATTAGATCAATTAACAAATTAATTTTTTTGGTTGAAGAATTCATTAGGATCACAATTCAACAAAATAGGGGTAATTCTTTTATTTAGGCTCACAAATGAAATAATTTTTTCAAAACATTTTTATTCTTTGAAAACCAAACACAATTTGACACTCTCAATTTCTTAATAGGATACTTCAATATGTGTCAAAACTATCACTCATTTTTAGGCAATGTGCAAAGTTTTGATGACTTCGAGGGAAGAAACAAAGGTTTGGATTCCAAGTTTTCAATCTTTTAAGAGAAGTAAAGTTTTCAATCTTTTAAGAGAAGTAAAGTTTTCAACTAGTATTGATTTCTCAAAAGATTTCAAGTTTTCAATCTTTTGAAAGAAGTAAGGTCTTCAATCGGTATTGATCTCTCAAAGATCTTTCATATTTATTGATATTTTCTTCACAATCTTTTTTCTAGTCAAAACCTTGAAAACTCTTCGTTTAAGAACTTCATGTAGCACGAAAAAGGTATTTTTGGTCTAGACTGTCATTTTTTGGTTTTCACCTTAAAGTTTCATTATTCACTATTTTCTTTTTCCTTTTTTTAACATTTAAAATTTTCACAGTGAGAATTGATTCACACAAAAACTTCTAACATTGAAAGGCAAAATGAAATCTCATAGATTGATAACTGATATGTACAATTTTCAAGAACTAAGCCCTTCAATTCAAACATCTATTTTTAATCAAAATGGACTTTTCAAGGTATGTGATATAAGTCAAGGTATAGGATTATGAAAGAAAGGATAAACAAGCATAAAATACATATTTAAGCTTAATGAGATCAAGGATTATTCACAGCTTAAGGACTTCCTTTAAAATATTTGTCTTATATTTGTTGAAGCTTACGTCTCTTTTTTTTTTAACTTTTTCAATTTTTCTTTTTTTTTTCTCATTTTCTTTTTTCTTTCCAATTTAAAACTTAATGCATAGAGGGTTGCCCCTTAAAATAAAGCATTATTTTTCTTTGATAAGACTTTATTATACTTGATCTCGAGCATGGAGTTCTTTTGCCCTTAATATGAAGGATGATCATTGGTCAATGTTTATTTTGAAAGAATACTTCGATAGGGTCAAGAGGGTAGCAAAAAATGATCATTCATTATTTCAAACACAATTACTTGAACTGAAAAGCAAATACCTGTGAAGAGTGAGAAACATGATTTTTTCACTTTTCTTTGGTTTTTTTTTTTTGTGAATATTTCATTTTAAACTCTTTGTTTTACTTATTTGAATATTTTGAGTGCATAATGTATCCATCAACAATTTTTTCTATTTTTTTCTCTCTTTTTTTGTTTTATTTTATTTTATTTTATTTTACAAATGATGCCCCACTTTGTTTGTCACTCGAAGATGATTCACAAAGAAAAGATGTTACATGGAATATCTCGAGTTCCAACTTGATATGCATTTCAAGTGTCATTTTGATTTCAAATTGTTCAAATTTTCATAAAATGAAAAGGAAGATTTTGACATAAAAACTTATCATAGGTAATGAAAAATTGGTTTCTTTATGGCCATGTGCCCTATGACGTGGAGCAATAATTGCTTTAAAGAAACAAATTAAGGCATTTGTGAGTTTTCGATCATAAAAGAGATTGCTTTGGATGATAGTAAGGATTGCTTTAAGGAAACAAGTTAAAAGCATTTGTGAGTTTTCGATCATAAAAGGAAATTCAAACGATTTTAGAGCATTTGAAGGAAATTCAAACGGTTTTGGAGCATTTGAAGTGTGAAAATAATTTTAACACACATCAAATCACCAACATTTAAATTTTTTAGTGTCATATTTGATTTTCAAAAACTTCAAAATAAATTTTCAAAATTAATCGATTTCATTCATTGCCTAATAAAAGTTTCTATTTTCGATAAGTTTATATTTTCGATATCATGTTGAACTGCAATGGAAATAAAGTTCATAGAGCTCATATTATGCCCCATCGAAGAATTAGGTCCATGTAAGATTTAAAATGTGAAAATGATTGACTAAAGATGATTTATGAGGTGAGTTCATTTCTAGTAATGATCACCAATTTTTTAAAACTCGCAAATTTTTAAGTCATTTTTCTCATCTGGCGGTGGAGGCCGCTGGTCGCCGCCGTCGGTTTGACTCCAAATTGCACCGACTCCTTCCTTTTGACCCCTTCCTTCTAAATATCCTAGTAGTTTTTCCTTAAAAACCACCCAAAAGGCCTAGATCCGCTTCAATAGCTCACGGGTTCAACTTAAAAAATCTCCTCCTTCCACCGCCCAAATGGCCCAAGCTTCCACTATGTTCTTCCACTATCCATGGTCCTCCTGCTGTCCAAAGAACTAACCTCGAAACCCGCTGAGACTAGCTTAAACTGAATTTCCCACAAAACCCTCTTTTCTCTCTCTTCAACCTTTTTGCAATTTTAGGTTTTTCTTGCTGTTGTTGTGTTGCTGCTGCTTCTTCTAAGAGGAATGCGTGTGAGCGCGTGGGTGTGTGTGTGTGTTTTCGGGTGGAATTTTTTTCTTTTATTTTTTATTTTTTGGCTTGCAGTGTTCTTTTTTGGGAATAGACGTGGTGGTGTATCGCGGTTGTGAAACTGGAAGTTGGTTGGGTCGACAGTGGGTGATCGGCTGGGTTGCAAGGTGGGGGTCGATTTGGTTCGGCTGCATAGTGGGTTTTGGATGTTATGATGGAAGCGGGGGGGAAGGGCAGTGAAGCTTAGGCTTCTTGCTTGAGTGGCTTTCTGATGGATCGTGTGTTTCATTGTTTTCCGCAATAACGGTGGCAAAGGGAGTCGTGGTGGTTTAGGCAATGGGTGTCCTAGGATTCTTCTTAAGACCGAAACCCTTTTAGGAATTGAAATCCCATCGCTAGCGAAAATTCCGCTGAGAGTTGTGGCCTTAGCTTTAGGATAGCTGGTAGGGTGGCTGTAGGTAGGTGGCCTAGGACCCAGAGGTGGCTGGAAAATTAAGGAATTCGGTCATTCAAATCTTCTGCAATTCTTTCCTTTTTCTTTTTTATGATTCTTTATTCTTTTAGTAAAATTAAATAAATGAAATTTAGAAAAATAAAAATGGGCGCTCTTATGAATTTCGATTTTAGGCCACAATTATGGGTTACAATGGCGTCTGGATCACATTTAAACTTTCGCCCTTCAAGCTCGAGTTTAATTGAATTAGACCCATGCAAAGTTTCAATTGCGCTTTAAGCTTTCAAATGCAAGGACTTAAATTAAATCGCCCCAAATTAATTCGGTTTAAGCAATTGCGAAATATTTCAAATACTTGAGATAAAATTAAGTGTTTATATCTGTCATAAGATTTTATTGTGATAATCACAATACCATTCAAATTGCTCATGATAATGTGTTTAATGAATGCACCAAACATATTGAGATTGATCTTCATTTTATACGTCATCATGTGGCACAAGGGATTGATCTTCTAACTTTCTGTGTCTTCTTCAAATCATATTGCAAATGTCTTTACAAACACACATTTGCCTGGCTCATTTCAGGAATTAATTAATAAACTCAAAGAGGCATCTATAATACTACCTTGAGTGGGGATATTAATATAATATTCTATAATATTATGTAATTATATAATCAAACATAATATTAAAAATTATGATATTATAATTAAAATAATATGTAAAATTGTGATATAATTATGATATCATAAGAAATTTTTTATTTAATTATTGATAATTTTTTATATATAAATAGGATAACTCTTTATAATATTTTTTTCAAAATTATGAATTCAGAAGTTCTGAGATGGTGATCAAAGTTGAAAATGATTTTTCCCCATTTTGGTGGCTAACCGTTAGATCCGGGCTGTCCATTCCAATTGGTAAATAGCAAAATTTTCAGGCATTTCTTCTTTGGAACCATTTCGGCCGAAAACGATCTTGTTTTAACTATTCCCAATCCAGCTCAAGCACAGGCATGATCTGCTTTTCTGGTCAATAACATGAGCCCTCCATTGTGACTTTTTTTTTAATTGGTGCATATTTATTCGATGATAGTTTCTGTTGTGATGGCATTGGAATTTATGTGTATATTTTTCCTTTGCCATGATTATTCCTCCTAAGTTCGCCTGCTGGGAATTTGGATATCGTTTTTTTTTTTTTTCATGTTATTTTGAAATATCATCAACTGCGTCAGTATTTTCTTGGCAAGTATATGCCTCACCACTAATTTTAGTGAAGAGGGAAGGATGGAAATCTCTTCCATTTTCAATTACAATCCAACCTTTTTTAAACTGTGACAATTCGAAACAGCCATATCGAATGGCAGGCAGGAGGAACACAACAACGACAAGATAAAGAACAAATAGAGTTGTTTGTGGAAGCTACTAACCAAAACAAGTTTGGTTTTCCCCGCAAACAGGTTTAAGGCTGGTGGGTCCGGAAACCCAAAAGAACTCATGGGCTCACGGCTATAGATAGAGCTTCCTAGTTTTCGGTTTTTTCTTCTCTTTTTTCTTAACAAAAAAATTTAAGAAAAAAAACCTTGTTTTTTTCTTCTTTTTTGGGATAATCCCTTAATCATTCAATCCTTTTTACAAAAGATGTTTCATTTAAAAATAAATAAATAAATCCTCCTACGAGGAGGATGAAAGCCTAAAATTTTGCAAAATTTTAAATGATTTTTTATATAATTTTTAATATAATTTACGTCCTATTTTATCAGTTCATATTTAAAGATGTTTGGTTTGGCATTTTCTTCTTTTTTTTTTTTTATCCTACCACAATTTATAAAAGCCTCAATCATTTCAATTACCATTTCTCTCACTTCAATAAAAGCATCATTTATGATGAAGTACCCATAAAAAATCAACCCGCTCCATTCTCCAATAAATTACCAAATTTTACAATTAAAAGCCAAATACCCACTAAAATAAAATTGCAAACTCCCAACCTTTTTTAACACAAAATCTCAAATTCCAACTAATCCTAATTTTTTCTTTCTAACTACTTTTCTCTTGAAGAAAAAACTAAAAAGTTGGCACATTAGTAACATTGCAATTGAAGAAGAAGCCCCTAAATCTAATAATACAATCACCCAATTTCCAAAGCCAAATTTTGATTTAGAAAATTAAAAAAAATGCCTACAGGTTCCAAATGTGACAAAAAAAATCAGGAGAAAGAGTTGGAGAAGAAATTAATGGCCCAGAAAGCAATGCAGAAGAGGGGCTTGCCATGAACCCACTTACATTGAACATCGGGCTCCAGTCATTCAAAGCCCACATCATTCTGGCCTCCGAAGCCGGGGAAAAGAAAGTTCCCGTCGCCACCGACGGCAACTCCCCCGGCATCGGCGAAAGTATCCCTGGCGGCATCCGAATCAAACCCTCTTCCATCCCACCATCCCCCACGTCCGCTATTTTCTCTCTTGGGCTTGGAATCGCCTTTTCCGTCGCTGCCAACCTTGCCGCAGGTGATACGTCGCCGTCGCCAGAGAAGTTACCGGATGAAAGTCCCGTGTATCGTTGGACGATTGACATGAAGTCAGATTCTTCGGCGTGGATGACTTTAGGTGAGACAGCGTAGATGACAACCGGCTCACGACGGCGTTGGTCTGCTGCTACTGCGGGGGCGGCGGCATGGGGTTGCGGACGAGGCGGTTTTTTTATTCTAAGGGAGTCTTTGCTGACTTTTAATGGGTTTGGGCGTGGACCTTGGATTTGTAGCTGACGCTTCGACGTTGACGCCCCGGCGGGAAATTGAGGGTCCATGATTGACGATGCGGATGATGAGTGGTGGAGAAGGGTCTATTGGGAATGGAGAAGAGAAAGAGAGAGCAATTTTTTTTTTTTATTGCTTTCGGTAGATGATGGAGTGAATTACTCTGAAGTTTGAACACTTTCAGCCAAATTATTTGAGCTTGAAAAACACGAAGAAAAGGAAGACAAGAAAAGTCAATGCAAATATTGTGGCTTATTTTTGCAATTATATTTCTCTAATAAAAAGTTACAAACAGGGATTTTTTTAGTGAATTCCTATTTTATATTGCTTCTTTTCTCCTACAGATTTTAATTTTTCTTTTTCAATATTTGCTGTAGTTCATTAAATGAAGCAATATTTAATTCTGGATAAAAAAATAATAAAGCCAAAGTTTATTGAGATAAATAACAAACCAAAATTTAAATAGTCTTTCTTCCATAAAGTATTATTATTAACACGGAGTTTAATTTAATTATTTTATATAATTATTTTTAAAATATAATATTATATAGGTATAAGATTCAAATTTTCATATTTATAATTAAATTTAATAATTATGAATTCATGTCGTGTAAACAAGAATAATTTTTTATTTGTGTCACATTTTAAATAAAAATTATATATCATAATTTGTATTTATATAAAAAATATAAATATATATTTTGTTTATGTTATACACATATAATTTTTATTAAAATTTTAATTTATGCTATTTTTATATCTTTTTTATATTATTTTCGAATTATATCATCATGTTATATTTTAAATTATTAAATCTATATAAAACTTTTTTTTAATTTCTAAATTACAATCTCTTTATAATAAAAACTACTTCTACTATCATTCATCCTTTATTTAAGTAAAAATTAGTGTTTTGTGATTTTTAATGCAATTACTTTTAAAATTTTTATTAGCCAAGTTGGCAATTATAATTACTTTTATAAATATCCAAGTTGTAATTTATGTAAAAAGAGGGAGAGTAAGGCTATAAAAGATGGTAAAATTTTAAAATTTGTACTGAAGACGCACTAACCCGACCCAAAAAATGGAACTTCTTTTTAGGTTTTTTGGAAAGAAAAATATCGGCCTTTCTTAAACACATGGATGCGCGATTTATTTTCCAATGATCGAGCATCTAACGAATGATATTCAAACTCTTTTAAGTAATATTTGATATAAAGTGATTATTTAAAAAATTATAATGATTTATATGTAATGATTAGATTATTGTGCTTAGTAAGCATTTATTAATATTACATGATAATGATATTGAATAATCGATAGTGATTAGATCATTATTTTGAATGATAATCTAATTTCTATTTGCAAAGGTGAAAAATTTTATTATTGAAATAAACTTATATGTAAAATTAATAATAATCAATATTACTTATTTAATATATAAATTAAAACTTACTTATTCTTAAAGATATAATTATGTTATATTACAAATTTTTATATTTTATATTAAACTAAGTGTTAGGCTGTTAACATAAAAAGAAAATGAGCATAACTAACAGAGGATTCTTATATAATATATATATATATATGGGTAAGACTAGGAGATAAAATCAGAAATGAAAAGATTCGAGAAAAGTTAAGAGTAATTTGAATTGAAAAAAGATAAGAGAGAATTGTTTGAGATGATTTGGATATGGGAAATGTAAGTCTATCTGTGCATCAATTAGGAGAAAATGAACTTCTAGATTTATGAGAAATTAAAACTTTAGAAGGTATTTGATTCGTGAAATTTTAGATTTCAATAAAGAATGTGATCTCTGAAAAAAGTGTAGGTTTCGTGTAAGGGGTGATTTTTCCTACCATGGGAATATTAGATTTTTGTGTTTGATTTGGGGGAATATTAGATTGTGTAATAAATACTTTTTACTATAATGCCTTTCATTACATGTCAAAGACAGCATTTTTGTTAAATATAAACAGTCTTTGACCAAAAAATATGAAGTCAAATACAATCAAAAACTACATTTCTGTTATTAAAAAAATAAAAAGTTAAATATAGTCAAAATACTACTTTTTTTTGTAGTAAATACAACATTTATGTCAAAGACTACATTTCAGTGAAAATAAATGTAGTGTTTAAAACATCTAAATCACCTAGTTTCATTTAACTAAACGATTATATTTCATTAAAGATGACATTTCTGGAGGAAGAAATGCAATCGTTGACTTTAATCAAAGACAACATTTTAACGTTGTTTTTTGACAACTATTACTTTGACTTTCTTGTACTTAAGTAAGTCTACAAAGAGTTCTCGTTTGAAAAGCTTAAGCCCACAAACATTTCCTTATCATTCCATTGGTTTGGCAAGTTGATTAAGTATGAAAGCAATGGATCATTAGGCCTAGAACTACTAGATTCACTCAACCTAATCTCTAATCTCTTTGAACTTGTCTTATATTCAATCCAAGAACGTAATTTTTCTCCACTATTTAATACCAATTTGATAAATGATAAATTTCTCACTTTAACTGATGCAAGGTTACTCACATCAATGCTCACATGGTTTTAATTCAAATAACCATACTTGGCATCTTTGAAGGTATCAAATTCTACAACAATAATATCATTTTTACTTTTCTCTAATCTCAGAGGAATCCCAAACAAACTATTGCATAACAAAAGCCAGACCATCACCATTTTCATTGGACATTGAGAAAGAGAAGTGGAAAAAGATGAGCAACATTAGACTTAAACTTTAGACCTTTACCAAAACTTTTAGAGGAAAAATAGGAGCTTTGGTGTGCAACTAAGATTTTAAAAAGGAAAATAAGAAAAGTTAGGGCTGTGAAGTAGTTGAAAATAGAGAATGCAGCCATTGCTGAAGTGGGTTAGAGTTGCTGGTCTACTAAGAATCGTTAGGTGATGATTCCTTTTACAACAAGGTGATTTCTTTTCCTTTATTTTTTTAGGGTTTTGGGTGAAAAACCAAATGAAAGAAAGTAAAAAAATAAGAGGGATTGGGTTGGCTTGGAGGTTGTGAAAATTAAATATATTATTGGTTTCTACAACTTTTTTTCATTCACTTTGTTATTTAACAAAGATCATGTTTCTTGAGTTAGAAATGTAGTCTTTGTTTCCTTCAAAACTACGTTTTTGGTTTTAAAAAATATGGTTTTTGTTATTAAAGACTAAATTTTAAACATAAAAAATGTGGTTTTTGTTATTTAAAAAATTGTTTTGTTATTTAACAAAAATTGTGTTTCTTATTTTAAAATTTGGTCTTTGTTTTTTTTCAAATATTATGTTTTTTACATAAAAAAATGGTCTTTGTTTTTAAAGACTATGTTTCTAAATAAATAAAAAAAAGCATAGTTAAAAATTTATAAATTACATTGGATTTCAAGGTAAAATAGATTAAAAAAATTTATTGTTAAGGTCAAATACGAGATGAAATTAACTTTCGTTTTAGGATCTTAAAAAATCATAGGCAAAAGTGAATTTCTAATTTCAAGACATTCGGGTACTATTAGGAATTCAAAATTATCCTTAAGAATTAGATACTCGTCAACGAAATGTAAAATCATATTACCACAAGTAAGATTCTGGGAGAAAATTTCATATTCCCCTGAACTAAACACTTTCTTAGAGGTAAATCATGAAAGATATAGATGCAAATAATAATAAATATATGAAAATTAAGGAAGTAGATGAAAATATTGTTATTATTATCCTTTTATATAGTCGACTCCAGAGTTATAAGATATAACGCTTAGTTTGTTATTGTTTTTGTTGTTTAAATTTTTATATTTTAAACTAATATTTATTGTAACAAATTAAAAAAATAATTTGTGCTTTAATTGTTTATACATAATATGATCCTTTTGGTTTTTTTTTTTTGTTATGATTCTAATATATTACTATTATTTTTTAATTCAAATTTTTTACATAATTTGTATTATAAAAATTAGGTTAATATCAATAAATATATTTATTAATTTAATAATTTAATTATATTTTATTATGAAGTAAGTAAAATATTATTAATATTTTGTAAATTATTATTTTTAAACAATATTAAAATCATTAACTTGTGTAACAATTACAATATACATGGTTTTTTTTTTTAATTTTTAAACAAAAAAATATTTAGTTTTTAATAATACTAAATACAATGATCTTTAATTTCTAAGAATTAATGACTATAAACCAAACAAAATTATTCCAAATTACGAGTGATAATATTATCTTAGTAATAAATTCATTTTAATGACTAAATTATCACAATAATCTTAAAAATAATATCAAATGCTACCTTAATAATTAATGATGTATCCTAACGTATAGAACTTAGAACATAAGTCACCGTCTCGAAGGTATCTTCATTTTTGAATTTTGAGATAAACAAGATGATATATATGGATTAAAAAAATTTGTCTCTTGTTATGTAACTCACAAAAAGATATTTTTATTAAAGTTTGTATGATTTGTTGATAAAATATTAAATTTGTAATTCTAATAATCAAAGTGTAATTTTTGATAATCTTAAATAAAAAAAATCCCAATGGTTAGAATTTGAACATCAATTTTGAAAATTTTGAGTTTGACTAAGCAATTTAAGAATCATGAGATGTGATACCTTTCATTATGTAGCTCAAAAATTTTAGCTTAATAGAAAAAAGTCTTTGAAGTACCAAAACTACAAGCTCCTTTCATTTATTGCTATTTACTAAATTTACCAAGAATAAATTTATATGCTAAGAGAGCCTTTAGAAGTTTTATTCATTAATTGGTGAGAGCTTGGTCCAGTTTATAAAAGAATTTATTTATTGCAAAAGAAGAAATTAAGTGTTGGGTTCTCAAAATTTTAAGAAATTTAATTTATGCATGAAATAGATTTAAATTGTTAGATGAAATTTTAAATCAAAGCTTCATCAAAAGAGATACTAATGAAAAGTTTTTGCATTCTCACTTTATTTTTCAATAATTCACAAAATTATAATTAAGAGTATATTATTTCACATTATTTCTTTTTATTTCGTTAATTTTTCTACTGAATTCGTTTATTTTTATTATAATTAACAAAAAAATCTATTTATTTTATTCATTTTTTCACTTAAAATTTTATAATTTAATTTACTAATAAATTAGATTATTTTATTTTTATTAAAAATATTATCAAATAATTTTAAATTAAACATCATTTGAATTAATTTTCTAAATAAATTTATTTAATTTTATCAATAATTATTTAAACTAAACTAATCGAATAGATTTAATCAAATTTAGTGAGTTTCGATCGATTAAGTCAATTGGAGTTTAACTTATACTCAATGATGTACCATGACTACTTTCTTTGAAGCATTTGATGTGATATGTTTTTTTTCTTTTAATCTTATCACGCCTTCATTCATAGTTGACCCATTCTGTCTACCCTCATTGAGAGGCTTGTTATGAAGTCAAACAATTAAGAATTGATTTTGATACCGTTTATCTTGCAGATGTCATCCTCTTCTTGCAGAATCGATTTAGTGAAAAACGTAATGCTTAAACTTATATACCTAACAATCTTTCATTTCTTATTCTGTGTGAGATTTATGCATCTTAAGTACTCTTTTTGTAAAACTTTACGTGATACTTTCACTTCCTATATTCGTGTTATAGCTATTATACTTTTTATGGGCAAAAAGATTTATAGTTGAAAAAGAAAAGATATGAAGCTCAAGAAAAGTATAGAATAAGGAAATAAAGCTAAATGTAGTATAAAAATTAGCAATAGGTAAAAACAGAGCTTGTAGTCTTTGGACACCAGATTTTGCTGAACCATCTACGTTGGAGAATGAAGTTTTGTTCCCTTAAAATTTTAGGGATGAAAGCAAGCTTTATCTTGTATTTCACAATATCATTCCTGCATACTAAATTTTCCTAAATTAAAAGGAAAAAGCTTAAATACTAAATTGATAAAAATAAAATGTTTAATCTTGAAAGATAAATTTTACAAACGTTAATGTCAAATAGGCTGCTTAGCTTTTCTCTTGGAAAATATATAATCTCAAAAAAAAAAAAAAGAATAAATTTTACAAGAAATATGATGAGATCATTGAAGGAATATCTTGATCTAACCTAAAGGCTGAGAAAGGTATATGACGTGCCCCACTTAAGTTTATTCTATTATCATTAATTGGTCAGATCCTTCCTATCGTTAATTGGCACCATTTTGAACTACCAGTCATTCTTCATTTCATGATGGCAGAACATTGGTCCAGGATCAAGAAGACTTTGCTCAAATTTCAAGACAATTATTTTCTAATAAATTAACTTGGTGGACACTATTTTGTATGTTTTAATAGAATACATGTCAACCTTCTGACTCTAATGGTAAAGTATCTAGGATAATTTTCCTAGTACTATTACCCTTTATTAACCCAAGGCTTTGCAGCAAGAGTTTCTTTTACCTGAGCTTCACAGTGGCTCAATTTAGATTGCTTACTTATCTTAACTTGAAACAAATACGTTTTGGCAAGTAGGGAAATGGGAAAAAATGAAAAAAAAAAAGTGTGTGTATATAATCAAAAGAGGGAAAAGTTTATTAGTCTTTGAAAACATCGGCATTGCTTGCATCAACTAAAATATTTAATAGGGGAATTATCAACAGATAGTTGGTTGAAGTGAAAAAAAAAATATATTCCTTTCTTTATTATTTGGGTTTGGATCTATTAGGAGATTGTAAAAGAGTAATTTTTTTATAAATTTATTAAGTTTGATGTAGATAAAATTTATTCGAATTTATCTGAAAAAAAAAAGATGTACCGGATAAAATCCAAAAACCTTTTACCACTTATAAAAAAAAAATTCATATTCAAATGGAATTGTAACTTGATTCAAGTAATTTCCTTTAAGAATCTTCGGTTGAAAGTGAGATGCCAGCCATGGCATAGAAAAAGATGGATAGACAAAACGAAAAAGAGAAGAAAACAACACCACTAAGCAAAATCTTTTGGATGATTTCTGCCAAAATTAATTTTGCATCAAACAATCTTCTTTCTCTTTTCTATCTTCTTCTTTAAACTTGTAGTCCAAATTCACTTCAGCATACTTTTACTTATTCTTTGTTTGTGCTTGTAGTAGTGGACAAGCATGTAGGAGTACAGAAAAGCAATTTCACAAGAAAAGTTCTAGCAATTTGTAGAGACCTAAAGAAGAAACTACTGCTTTGGGGGTAGCAATTTTATATATTTTGTATCATCCCTTATAAATTAGTGTCATGAGTTATCCTTCTGGGTTGTTCAGTATCAGAGTCCAAGCAAATCATATTTGCAGTGCAAAAACCTGGAAATATAACCTGTAAGTGACTAATAAAGTCATGCTGCATACATTTTATGTAAGATCATGTGAAACATTGGGTTTGGTTTGATTTATCATTATATTGTCCTAAACGTATTTAAGTTGAATTGAATTTCAATGCAAATAGTGAAGGTCTTTTTTTTTTTTTTTTGTTTCTCCTGCAGTTTTCCATATGCGTCCCACGGAAGCAACCCATGGTGCTCTGGCTTCCCCTCCTTATAAGAGATCAGCAAGCAATACAAATGAGGATAAAGGTAATTCAATCTCTAAGCTTTATAATTTCTTTTTTAAACCAATATTAAAAAAAAAAAAAGTTCTTCACCTGGCAGATTCGAAGGATGCATCAATTCGATGTCTTCCCTTGTACAAAGCTCTGGATAGTGGTGATTTGGAAGCTACCAAGAAATTCCTTGACCAACATCCGGATGCAGTGTCCGGTAGCCTTTCCATGGAAGGAGACACACCTCTTCACATTGCTGTCATAGCTGGTCATATAGACATTGTTGAGGAGTTGGTGGGGCGCATGTCTGCTCAAGAAATAGCAGTTAAACAGAAATTAGGCTCAACAGCCCTTAATTTCGCTGCCATAGGGGGAGTAACAGAGATTGCTGAGTTACTGGTGAAAAAGAATAGAGATTTGCTTAAAATTACGAATGCTCGTGATCAGATTCCCGTTGTTGTGGCTGCTCTCTATGGACATAGAGATTTGGTGCACTATCTTTACATGGAAACTCCGATTGAAGAGCTTGATCCAACTAGTCCAAGTCATGGAGCTCTTCTTCTCACTGCTTGTATTATTGATGAATTTTACGGTACAAAAGAGGATTGTTTTACTTCATCTCTTTTGATTCTTGAATAAATATATGCTTTCCCTTTGTTCATTGTTTCCAGGATTTGAACCCTGTTATTGAAACTAAAAATCCAGCACTCTATCAACATAGATCGTTGGCTTTTTGTTTGACCTTTATGTGTTCCTCTGTTTAGATATTGCTTTGGATATAGTCCAGCGCTGCCCGCTATTGGCAATTGCTGAAGACACGGATAAAGACACGGCATTCAATATTTTGGCTGAAAGACCATCTGCATTCCCAAGTGGAACTCAACTTGCACTTTGGCAACGGTGGATATATAAATGTTGGTAACTTCTGTCACTGAAACAAAATTGGAAATTTGAGCTATAATATATCATTAAATTCAGAATTATATGAGACTGCTTTATCCATTCTTGACCTGATCAGGTATTCAATTACATCCACAAAAGGCCTTTCTCAATGCTTCTGGAGATATTGAAAGGCCTCATGAAGGTACAACTCATCAAAGGAGCTTGACTAACCGAGGTAAATATGTAAAACAAGATTGAGATTTCTTAGTAGAAATCTTGTTTTTTTTTTTTTTTTTATTTGGATTTGTTCTGACATTATTGTTTTAGATAGTTTTCAAAATTTTAAACATGACATGATGATATTATATGAAAAAAGACATGAAAATGACATGTAGCAAAAACCGAATATGAATTTGATAAAAATAAAAAAATGTCTTTTATATTTGGTATGAATTGTGATAATAATTTTTGTGTTTTTCATGTGATAAACACGAAAAAACAGATAGGGATTCACAAATTGACATATCTGATTTTAGATACATTTGACCACAAATAACTACAATTCTAAATAGTGCATCACCCAATTTTTACTTCAGAAATTTGAAAATCTATTTTCGTTTATGCAGCACTTCACCAACTATCAGAAATATTCTGGAAAGTCTTAAAACTTTCTGGTAAGAAACAAGCAACTCCACCAATAACTTTCGGTCGTATTTGATTGAGCCTAACTGTGCTTTTCTTGCCATCAGTCCCAGGCTTTACAAGCATATATGAGTTAAAACTGACACACCTTCAAGCCAAAGAACTTCTAACTTGTATTTGCACAGAGGTATCAAATTTAGAAGATAAGTTAAAATTTGAATCTCTGGTAAAAAGAGCACTATTTGAAGCTGTTAAGCAAGGGATAGTTGAGTTTGTCACAGAGATCATGAAACATTATCCTGAAGTAGTATGGTTCTGGGATGAAAAAGACCGGAATATATTTTTCGTTGCAACCGCTGAACGCCAAGAAAAGATTTTCAGCCTTATATATAAAATGGGTGCAAAGAAAAACTCCCTGGCAACTTATTGGGATAAGGATTTTAACAACATGTTACACCAGGCTGCGTTGTTAGCTCCTTCCTCTCAGCTTGATCGTGTTTCGGGTGCAGTTCTACAGATGCAAAGGGAGCTTCAATGGTTTAAGGTGGTTAAAAATACATATATATAAGCTCTTTTATAGGTTTAAAAGTTAGGTGAAAGAAGAATTATTCGTACATGAATTCTTTCTTATTTTTATTGTAGGAGGTGGAGAGTGTTGTACAACCCAAGTACAAGGAGATGATCAACATCCATTATAAAACACCCCGAGCTTTCTTCTCGGATCATCATAAGAAGTTAGTAGAACAAGGGGAAAAATGGACCAAAGAAACTGCTAAATCTTGCACAGTCGTTACTGCTCTAATCGTCACCATAATGTTTTCAGCATTGTTTACAGTGCCTGGTGGATATGACAATTCAGGCGTTCCACTCTACTTGAATAGCAATTCATTCATGATTTTCATAATATCTGATGCATTATCACTTTTTACTTCCACAACTTCATTGCTTATGTTCTTAGGAATCCTGACATCCCGGTACAGGGAAGAAGATTTCCTCCAGACTGTGCCTACAAAATTGATGGTTGGGCTTTCCATGCTTTTCTTCTCCATAGCAAGCATGATGACAACCTTCGGAATCGCCTTGTTCCTGGATCTGCGTGACCGAATACCATGGGTTTCTTTTCCAATTATTTTGCTTGCTAGTCTTCCAGTTACCCTTTTCGCCCTGTTGCAATTCCCTCTCCTTGTCGAGATTTTCATTTCTAAATATGGACCTGGAATCTTTGACAAGCCAAAGAAGCCCTGGTGACGATCAGGTTCCACCAGGTCTTCAACACGTTGCGTTCGTTAGCTGAGAGCTGCTGCGTCAGTGATACTACTAAGCAACAGGATTTGGATGCATTGGTTTATCATATGCTGTTTTCTTCATAAATTATTTTTTAAATTTTGCTTTATATATTTTGGTCGAGAATAAATATGTTTTGGGTTAGGATTTGCTGATAATGTATTCACCAAAATTCATGCATGGTATATGGAGTACTAATATATTTTATATGATCATGATTGATTTTTTTTAATATAAATAAAAAAATTATAATCATAATCAAATATTACATTTATATATATATATAAATCATTGAATAATAAAAAAATAAATTATAATATAACTAAATAAATCCAATATAAAATTCAATCAAATCTATACATAATGAAATTTGAACCTACAACATCATGATTTAAGGATTTATTTCTTACAATTAGATCAAAATCTCATTAACATATGAAATACTATAGTAAACAGAAGCTTGGAAGACTGATTCTAGTGTTAAGTCCTCAATTTATTGTCAATTTCAAAGTCATTGAGTATAATTTCAAATCTTAAATTTTGCTTGTAAAATTAAAAAATTATACTAATAATTTATTAAATACTAAATTCATATATATATATTGTTGTAGCATCTTCAACAAGATCAAAATTAATTAAATAGTTTATGAATAAAAGAAATTATCACATTAATTATCAACACACTCTATCAATAATGGTAACACTTAAATTGTATTAATCCTCCATTTTTATAATTTGATTTAGATTAATGTGGTTGTTTGCTTGAATTCGCATGATAATCACTCTACTTATATGGAGAATTAAAGCCTTTTTCTTTTTATTTATATATATATACTACTTTTATTCAAACTCAAAAACTTTTTAAACAACTACTACTAAATTTATCAAGTATTTTCTACTTTAAAAATTTTAAGATCTTATCTTTGAATATCAATTAAATTGATGAATGCAACCAAAAAAAAAAAAAGAAACAATCAAGAGAACACCACATTTTGTCGGTCTTAGATATAAGCAACTTCACTTGAAAAAGATTATAATAATAACAAAAACTCTTCTTGTTGAACAAAATTGGAGTTGAATTCTAAACCTATTTCACAAATTTAAAATCAATTTTTTTAAGGGATCAAAGTATCTAAACTACAATTTATTTTTAACTTATTTTATAAGAATTTCAAAAATAAGAGAAGATTTATGAAATCATTTTGCATTCACAGTTAAACAATAAAAAGTCATTTCAAATCAAACTTTTTTTTAAACTTTATATGCCACTTTCATCAATAAAATTATAATTAAAAAAAAATCTCATCTACTATTGATCGACTGACGAAATTAAAAAAAAAATGTTGCAGATCCATTTAAGGTGCCTTTTAAAAAAATAAATAAAGGTTCAAAAAACCTTTAAACAAAAATGCAAAAATCATTTAAGCCTCTAAAATTTATTTTAATAAATTAAATCTTAAATTTTTTATTTTGAATGAATTAAACCGTTAAATATTTATATTCACTTCAATTAAATCCTCAATTAGATAGAAATGAGTGTTACCGATTAACCAATTTTTATTTAATAAAAACGCAATTGATAAAAATAAAATTTTGACAACTTAATTAATTACAATAAAACATTAAGACTTAAATTATTATTCGAAAAAGTTTTTAACCCTTTAACCTAAAAAAAATTACACTTCAATTCTTAAGATGGATTTTAAAAACTGCACAGACTAAAAAGCACGATCCAAAATTAATATCGTTTAGCCCATAATGATAGGAGAAAACAAATGCAACAAAGAGCCCAATTAAGGCCCATAATATTCCACAATGTCTAAGGCCCAAACCCAAAGGGGGAGCATCGAATCCTGAAAAATTTGCATTTCAATTTCGAGACCCTAATTCCGCCTTTATGAACTTGAAAATGAAACCCATCTTCTCAAGGAAAAGAAACCCCCATAAAAAAAGTTAAAAAACCGCACATAACTTAGAAATTACCAGAACATTTCTTCCTCTCTTTCCACCTAAAGAAACAAGCAAAACCCTAGCTACAATGGCAGCCATGCTGGTAACTTCACCTTCCTTTTCATTCATTTCATGCTCATTTTCTTAACATCTTGAATCTCTGATTTTAAGTGCTGCTAAATCTGCTTCTATTTCTTTTGTTTGCAGCAACCCCAAATCATACTTTTGAAAGAAGGCACTGATACGTCCCAAGGGAAAGCGCAGCTAGTAAGCAATATAAACGCTTGCACCGCCGTGGCTGACGTGGTTAGAACAACCCTGGGTCCCAGGGGTATGGACAAGCTCATCCACGACGACAAAGGGAACGTAACCATTTCCAACGACGGTGCCACCATTATGAAGCTTCTCGATATTGTTCACCCTGCCGCCAAGATCCTCGTTGATATCGCCAAGTCTCAGGACTCTGAGGTCATCCTCTCCCCTATTCTTCTTTTTTACTTAATTTTGTAGATTCCAAATCATTTCTCAGTTTTCAGTTAAAGCAGAGATTGATGTTTACATATGAGCAAAGGGTTTTCATTACTAAACTAATATTTGAATTTTGAGTTCGTTTGTCTGTTTGGCATCTCGAATCTCAATGTTATCAAGATCGGATGTTTTTTTATGCCATTTAGATTATTTAGAGAGCTTTTTTTTTTTTTTTTTTTTTGGGTGTTGCAGGTTGGTGATGGAACTACGACTGTTGTACTACTAACAGGAGAGTTTTTAAAAGAAGCCAAGCCTTTTATTGAGGATGGAGTTCACCCTCAAAATCTCATTAGGAGTTATCGAGCTGCTTGCTATTTGGTGAGTTTTTGTTTTTTTTTTTTTTTTGTCCATTCTCATGGTTTAGATGCTGCATTGGTCTTTGTGCATCTATTTATGTGGAATGCTATACTCAATGGACAGGCAATTGAGAAGATCAAAGAACTAGCTGTTAGTATAGAGGGAAAAAGTCTAGAAGAGAAGAAAGGCTTGTTAGCTAAATGTGCTGCAACAACACTTTCTTCAAAGCTCATTGGTGGAGAAAAGGAGTTCTTTGCGTCAATGGTTGTGGATGCTGTTATTGCAATTGGAAATGATGATAGGTTGAATATGATTGGAGTTAAGAAGGTAGACTCCTGTTTTTCATGCTTTATTTTCAACCTTTTTCTATCCTTGTTCCTTTTTCTGATATTTGTACTTGGATCTTTCAAAAACGATCCCATACTTCTTGTTATCTGGCAAATTATACAGTTTGGACCCAATGTGTGTTATATTGAACTATCTTTTCCAGCTGAGTGTAGCACTTGGCTATTCTTTATATGTAGACTCTCATCCGTTGGCAGTATCATGTAAGTGTAAGTGTTGCAATGGTATGTATGGTAAATGAGGTGGGCATCAGTTTGACTCTATTTTTTGGAGAAAATTTTGTAAGGTCCAAAATCTAGGAAAGTTTAATTTACAGATGTCCTTTTTGGGTCCATAATACAATCAGTTTTTGAAAGCTCTGAAAACGCAACATAAGCTCCAATTGGCATAATATAGGTTTTCTAAAGTTAAAAAGTTAAAATTTCTAATCACTTCTGGTACTATAGGCTGAAAGGCCGCTTTCACATTAAAGGATAAAAGGCTAGCCTGTAAAACACTATATTGCAATTAGGATCTCACCCAATTTTATTATATCTAAAGTTATTGAGCTAGTTGATTCCCTTTTGATTTCTTTTCATTTTTGAAGTGAATTTTGTGTGTGCAATGGTGATATAATTTGTTGACGATTCGTAAGTGATGGCAACTGTAGATGGTCTGATCATGAATATGTTTAACTAACGATTAATGTAAAATGATGAATCCAATGTGGCAGACAAGAGTCTGAAGGTGTAGCATAGGGTTGATGTGGTAGCCAAGAGTCTGAAGGTGTAGGATAGGGCTGGGGTGGTGGAGTTCCCTTCTTTTTTTGCTTGTAATATTGTAATACTGCTTATAATTGTCAGATTGTGGCATTGCCTTTTAAATAAGATTCCTTTGATTCATGAATGCTAAGAAAAAATTCCCATCAAATTTTCAGTCATGTTTCTTGTAGTACATATTGTTGTCACATAAAAAATTGATTAATATTTTTGGTTTTTTTTCGCAGGTTCCTGGTGGTAATATGCGTGACTCCTTTTTGGTTAATGGTGTTGCCTTTAAAAAGACATTTTCATATGCGGGTTTTGAACAGCAGCCAAAGAAGTTTGTGAATCCCAAGATACTTTTGTTGAACATTGAATTGGAACTGAAATCTGAGAAAGAAAATGCTGAGATAAGGTAGGAGGTTTTGCCGTCTTTGATTTAAATTATTTTTTCATAAGTGGCTATTGACTCTACTTTTTGTTTATCTGCTACAGACTTTCAGATCCATCACAATATCAATCAATTGTTGATGCAGAATGGAATATCATTTACGACAAGTTGGATAAATGTGTGAAGAGTGGTGCAGAGGTTGTTCTTTCACGGCTGGCTATTGGTGATCTGGCAACACAGGTGTGAGATTTTGCCTTGATTGTTGATACTACATTTGTATTTCTTTGTACCTGTCTCTATAAGTGTTGATAACTACCAAAATCCACATAAATCTATTTTCCTTTTTTGGTTATTTTGTGATGAAACTTAATACATGGTGTTGGTTGTAAAAATAAGGGTTTTTTTTTTTTTTTTTTTTTTTTTCTGTTGGCTATGAATGACGTACGTAGTTTTTATCTCTTGTTGCTTTGTTACCTGCTTGCATGAGTGCTTACTGTGGGCATTGTCATAAAGATAATGTAGTCATGTCCATATTGATATTTGACACTCTATAATCATACATAACTACTTCTTTCCAGCTCCTATGTTATCTCAATTGATAGTTTTTCATAGAATTTTGAAGAATGATGTTTGTCAGTAATTATGACTAATTTTTTGTTTCCTCTCTCTCAAATATTGTTGCATGAATGTTGTGTTTTTTTGTTGACAGTATTTTGCAGATAGAGATATTTTCTGTGCTGGTCGTGTAGCTGAGGAAGATCTTCAGCGGGTTGCTGCTGCATCTGGTGGAACCATACAGACATCTGTCAACAACATAATTGATGAGGTTGAGACTCGCATTATATTCATTTGGAAATGCAACCCTCTTTTTTTATTTTCAAGTTTACACTGTCAAAAACTATTGAATTCCCTTCTTTT